GCTCTATAACTCGGCCCCTAATTGACCTAGCGCGACCAAACTTCGTATACTTACACATCTTGGGGAGAACACGGGGGATACATGTAGTTACATGTAGTTGGCGACAACTGCCCTTTCTAGTTGTTAATGCAGCTGCTCATTCGTCAGTAAACCTGGTAGTTTCGGACTAATGTGATACTGTTAGTTTTGAACCCTGCCCATGTGTGAATTGAAATGTTAAGAATATTATGTATCGGTATATGGCTATCAAATGCCTTATTGTAATCAATGCAAAGCATGTCAGAGGATATGAAATAAAAATTAATATGGACACTTAAAGCAATGTTGCTTGCTGAGCAGTGCTGCCACCTAATGTAAACACTGATTCTTGGCACCAGTAGCTGCCACGCTGTGTGGCAAAAGAAACTTAAAACTTGAAAGAGGATAGTATATCAGATGCGGTAAATCAGAAGGATAGCAAAAACTTCTAGAATGTGTTGTGACAAAAAATTCGGGCTTATTAGTTTAGAGGCAATGTGAATTACGTGCATGTAGCTGTAGGTAGGACGTGCCTCTGTATACGGAAGCGATAGCAATAGTAACGGCTCTAGTGCTACGCTAGCAGGAAATCATTGATTACACTCAGACTGAATGCAGCAGCGTGCAGTACTGGATTTCACCATGTTACACCATGGTCATGTCAACTATAACGTGTCTACTGCATGAGGTGGGTTAAAAATGTTGGCACGCATTCATTGAAATGCTTTAAATGACAAAGTGGGAAAGATTTTATTGTCTGCTCACCACCGTTTGATCTTGAAGTGGCTTAGAAAAACCGGACAGACAAACAGCATTAGGCTGGCACAAAGTTCCCGTGTGCTGCACCTACTGTCGCGAGCGTTTGGGCAGTGGAGCTGTACGTTGAGGGCACGTTTTATTCTAACGAAATTTTGTATTATTTTAATTGAGATGGGCATCAGTTTTGGTCTCAGAAATTCTTAAAAAAGGTTTCTATTTAACTGAACGGTAATTAGGTTTTTGCTTTACGAGCATTCACCTCGCGAGGAGATTTTTGTGAATGCCTTACTCTGGTCAGCCTGAGTAGGAGTCTGTTTGTATGTGTGTGTGCACGCCTGCGTGTGACGTTCGTGCGTGTATGTGTGCCTGAGTGTGTGCGTGTTTGTGCACGTATACATGTACTAGTCTGCATATATGAGAATATATAGCTAGAGTCAAATATTGTGGATATTGCTAAGTTTGTTTTTTGTTGCTTTGAAAATTTTCAAAATTTGCAATGAAGATTTGTATCTAAATTTAAAACCATTAGTGTCAAATTTCACATTCCACTGTTCTTTGACATATGGAAAACTTAACATTTATTGTGTCTGTTGTGTTACACAGGAAAAGCGCACAATGCTAGACAGTTACGATCGAAACCAGTTGCAGAAGTGTCTTGACAACTTGCAGAGAGCTATAAAAGGTGAGGCAAAAATCTCTCTGTATCTATTTCATATTTCATATATTCTATCATATTTCTGTATCTTGTGTTAATGATCGCCGACATAATCATGCTTAAGGATTTAATGAATGTCTTCTTACTCACGTGCATACGTATGTGTTCGGAAACAAAAGACAAAACAAACATTGTTTTTGTTTCAGTGACATCAGTACAAACTATGGTTGAAAGATTAGAGGGTGTGTCAAGGCAGCTTGGGTAAGTAGTTTCTTATTTGTAAATTGGTGTGTATTTTTTAGCAGAAATGTATAGGTAAGAGAAAAACGTGACAATAGAAGAATTTGTGGTGAAGAGGTTTAAGGGTGTGCAGGTCCTGTGTGCTGCAGTGGCAAGGTCAAGTGTAGCGTGTAGTGACCAGAGAAGAAGAAGTGGTGAAGAGGTGATTGTGGAGGAAGTTGGAAATAGGCTAGGATTGATATATTTGCGAGTATTTGACTTCAAGAAACCGTAGATACTCTAAACCGAGTGCCGCAGTTGGTTGCCTCTACACTCATCTTGTATCTTTTCTTACTGGCCAAACCACAGTTGGGGAGGAATACGCTTTGTCAGAAGCGACATTTTTTAACTACATTTTTTGACATTTTTTAACTACATTTTTTGACATTTTTTAACTACAAGAATAATTATTTAAATAGATGCTTTAGTTCTTAATGGGGTTCTACCTAGATACAGAAGTCTCATTAACGTCTTGATGCACGCAGGCTGAAGTTCACAGCAGGGCCATCTGGCACGGACTGCTTCATCAGTACAGACATGTTCTACGTGGAGGTGATGTTGGATCCTTCTGGTCGAGTGAAGGATGTGAAAATCGCTCACCATGGGGACCCCGTGGTAAGCTTTCTGTAGTAGCTATGCGGTTGGTTGTAAATAGTCTTTAGATGTTTTAACCGTGAGTCCATACGTGGTGTTGATGAATGAGGGCAGGGTTTCTTCCTGGATAAAATCAGGAGCGAGGTGGCATGGATGAAGTAGTAGGTGCTGAAGGCGCTAACTGACACGAGTGCTTTCGTATTACATGTGCCTAGCGTGTGCCTGGCTGGTGTGTGTCTGGCAAACCTGGCAAACGTGGTCGAACCCGCAGTGTTTGCTTTTGTGTGTGGCAGCATTGATCAATGCATGGTAGTGCTGGGGACATATGAGGAGAACCCGGGACTGGATAATGCTGTCTGGATATCGACTTGGGGGGGGGGAGAATTTGCAATGAGGTGGCAATTTCGGCAAATATTGAGTGAGGCTGATGAAAAATCAGCAAGGCGACACGCCTCGCTTATCAATGTTATCATCTGCCAGCGGAAATACTCGAGGGAACCAGGCAAATTTGTTATGGAGTAAAAAACCTTTGAAAATCTCTAAGGATCTGTTAGATCTCAATTTATTAATATTAACCTTCAGAAAGAATGTTTGTTACTGTTTTTATTGGCAATTTATGTGTAAAATTGTTGTTTATTTGCAAAAAATGTCAGTAGGTTGTAACAAGATACACGTACTGATTCCTACTGAGACTGAAAATGCAGACAATAATCTGAGATTGGTTTATAAATAACTACTGTTCACTATTGATATCTATTCATATTGTTTTCAGAGTTGCGATGAATTGGTGCAAGTATTAACGTAAGTGTTGGTTCTGTCAAAATAACTGCATTTGTTTGCACATTCAAGTCGATTAGTTGTTTGCACATTTGAACGTTTCATGTTTAATGGCAGGTTGTCATGATTTAGGCATGGATCTGAACGAAAAGCTTAAAGAGATTGTGTGTGATAATAGTTTAGAAAGAGCAACTTTGTTTTGGTTTCTGGGGCACAAGCTTATACCGGATGATCTTTCAATATTTGGAAAGTATATACTGATGAATTTTAAATGGGGCAATAGGATAGCCTGACATACTATGATCTTTCGATATTTTATGGTTTTAATGAGTAGAATTTTTATAACTTTAAGTAGATAAGTTGCCTAGAGTTCAATTGATTATTTAGTGTGTATAACTTTTGTGCGCGTATTTGTGTAATAGAAGTATTGTCATTGTTTACTTTTATTTGGCAGACGAGGTGACTTTACAATATTCACTGAACATCTACAGGGCTTGGCAGCTATATACCAAATCAGTTCTGAGAAGTAAGTATGTTGTTAATTTCTTACTATTGTGCAACCGTATGTGTTGTTTGAAACATAAATCAAAAATTTAACTGAACTCTGAAAGTCTATTTCTTACTCATGTGTTTTTAATCACATTGTAGCTCTTTAATTGTGATTTGATACTGGTAATTTAAGGCTGGTACAGTTTAAGTGTCATTTTGTTATTTTTTATTACAACATTTAACATATTTCTATTCTTTTTTATTATAAAATTATGTATATTGTTTCTACTTGTGCAGACACCAGAAGACTAAGGGATACTTGGCACTACAGTCTCTAGAAACAGATCTCACAATGCTAGCAGAATTACAAAAGTAAATCATTCTTACTACCATTGAAGCTCTGTTGTTTTGTGGGCTGGTGCATGTGCCACGTAACACTCCAGTATAAGCATGGATTACAGAAATTTAACGTTTTTAGAGATGTCTAAAAGAGCGTATCACGCCCAATTGTAGCATGTTGCTAATTGTTGTTGGATTGTAACACATTTTACAGTTGTTCCATTCTTGATGTATCTGATCTAATACACAAGTCACCACTTGGAATTGTACAACCGAGAAGAGGAGGTAAGCATGTATGATTTTGCCTGTGACACTGCAAATAATAGTGCCAACTAGTGGAACTGTCGAAAATTAACATTAACAAAATTACCATTGGAGGGTAAGTCTTCGTACTTTGACTGAGAAGTATTTATTTTATCGTCTTGCAGGGCGTGCACTCAAGCTCGTATATCTAGTTTCCCCCTATGAGCTTCTGGATGTGAAGGAGAAGACGTCCATCATGCTCTCCGTGGAAAGTTAGTAACTTCTACAGTTATTTCAAATCAAAAACGAATGATCTCCTAATGGATCCATCATCCTGAGCAGTATTGCTCCCTCTTCGATGTTGTTACTGGGTCTGTCAAGCTAGACCAATTTATGCACGTTTTTCATGTGTGCATGCCAAATTATCAAATATGCAGCAGTTTTATTACCGAGCAGACTTTATAATATGTTCCTATCTCAATGATGATCGGCTAGAGATACCTGTCTCCTTAAAGATCAATTGACTGGTACCTCTTAAAATATTACAGGTAAAAGTGTGGTTGGTTTTATTCAGAAGGTTGAGAAATGTTTTTTTCTGTAATTAGTTGAGATCAATTGAAACTAATTTAATTAGACAGAGCAAACAAATGCATTAATTTTAGTCAGTACACAAGAACTGGTAAGCAGGAGCACTCACCTTGCTCATGTGCTTGTATGGATAGTAGGCTGGAGCTAATCATTGTGTTTTTTCGTAGATGTGGTGCAAAAAAAGATTGGGACATCACTGGCAGTAAACATTGAAGTTTCCACCTCTCACAAACTTCAGACCAGAGCACTCATGTCTGTTGCAAAAACTCTGGATGGAAAAAGGTAATATTTTGACATGTGTTTTAGTTTTATAAACTATATAATCACAATTTAATCGGATAACATTCATATATATCACAGTTTCGTCTATTATGAAAAGAATGTGTGTATATTTCATTACTGCAAACTCTTATTTTGTGACTGTAGTTTGCCATCATTTGATGCACTAAGCAACTTGAACAGCTCCACGTTGCCTGCCTGCTTCATACTGAATCTTGGTCAGCCCGTTCCACTGGCATCCTGCCTCATCCACAAGATCCAAACGATAACGAGTAAGTACTTGCTGATCTAATTAGTAAAATTCTGACTGCAAACGTTTAAGTCGCTGTTAATAACGTCTTGCATTTTAACTGCGACTTATTTTTGTTTGTTCTGTTGTGGCTTTTGTTAGCCATTGATAGTTATGCGTTGCGTGCCGTGGAAGTTTTATTCAGCCTCTGTTCGTTATATGTTCTCGGGACTGTAGTCGTAAAAAGGCCATTACCTCGTCATCGTGCAATGAGGTCATGAGGTTTTGCAAACTCACCAGGATTTTTCTCAGTCAAGGCCCCTGGCCTTGTATTACTATATTTTATTTATATATAAAATAATTATAATAACTAAAATTATATAATAATATATTATTATTATTATATATTTACAATTAAAATTTTTTAAACATTTTGTTTATTGTATTTGTATTATTATTGTATTATTTTAATTGGTGCTCCCTCATCGCATGAACTCACTTGTGCCTGACGATGTTCCTTCACAGACGTGGAGTTTGCAGACACATCGCAAGCTTCTCCCTTACTTGGCTTGTTAGTTAACAACTACTCTAACTCAACCACAGATCTGAGGAAAGGGCTCTATGTCGTAAGTGATTCGTGTGATTCCAGCAGTCGTATATATGAGAGTCAATCTTGTAAAATTGTTCCAATGTAGCTTCGTTTTGTCAGCTAGTAAAGAACTGTTGGGTGAAATAGCAAGATTAGAATGATGGAAAATTACACGAATGGGAAAATATCTTGACAAAGCATTTCATAATTCATAACCCATTTATGCAACCACTATATTGAATTGGTGAATAATATATAGGTAAAAGCCTGGGGCCCATTGTCAGAAACATCGTAAAGTTAATGCTAATTTTAATGCTAAGATAACACTTACGACTAATGTTATTGTTACGAGAGTAGCGTTGACAGAAACACATCGCAGCTAGTAGAAAACTTACGATAACAGGAACTTAATCACAAGGCTGCTGATTGGATGAGAATCGATCACAAAATTCAAATTCATACACATTTATTGTACATCACAGTTATTTATGCATATTATGATGGCTAACCATATGTAAATAATATTTGATGAAAAACGACGTGGTCATTAATTTGTCAAGTCAAATTCTCGCACTGTAACACGAGACGCGAGAGTCGTGGCAAAATGGCAAAGTAGTTCAAACAAGAGAACAAATGCCATACGCCATTTGTAAATGTATTGTTGTGTTTTATAATCGGTAGATAATAAATGATTTTGACGTGTTTTTCAAGAAAAACACACATTTTATTCATTATTATAAAATATAATATCACTATAATTGTAATTCGTAGTGTAAATGTGTTATTTTCAACTTAATATTAAAGTTACGAGAGGGTCTGGGCTCTCGTAATGTTAAGAGGATATTTGCGAGGATTTTTTGTTCTCGTAACATTACGATGTTTCTGTCAACGGTTAACGAGTGGAAGTTAATGTTAAGTGTAATGTTAAGACTAATTTTGTTTCTGACAACGGGCCCCTGATTCACACAATATACATGTTTGCGCCCACCAGCACATTGCTTTCTTATCCATGCAAGGTGCCTATTTTCTAGAATCTTCCTGACCAGCACCACTGCTACTTCATGAATGAGAATCGGGCTCTGACGGGTGTGATGGTGGATAAGGTCCCATTCACTCATCCCACGCACGTGCCTCAGATCATCAGCTTTCTGAGACAGCAAGCACTGTTCAATTGTGTCATGGACAGTTGTATTAGGAAAAATGCAAAACAAGGTGAGTGGGGAAACAGCGTAGATGGCAGTCGATGGTGTTGGTGTTGTATGAAATAGGACTAGATGGCACATGAGATGCAATGGTATGTCTTGTCCTAGTATTGAAGATCATTCTAATCATTGATTATAAATTTACGAAATTACCAAAGTAATCTAAAACCAGATAGTACATAAATATACTTCACATGGTCAAATAAAAGTACATTTAATGTGTTATTCATTGATTTCTAAACATGATACATCGTTTGAATGACTGATTCTAGATCCGGGAAATGCTACAATGTTTGAGGTCACTCCAATGTCAGTGCAGTCAGTCAACATAACATTCCAACATCCCCTAGAGGAATCCATAGCTACAGGTTGGAAATGAACTTTGTTACCGTGGTTACGTTTCATCATCAACACTTGTTATTTAATATTTCCTTAGGTTTCTGACTGATTTTTGTATGATTTTAAAAAGTGACTATTTCTTGCCATGTTCTGGAATGTGGTACTCATAATGTGATGGTGGCTTTCATCTGTTTTATTTTTTCGCATAGTTCAATTGGATCTGAGTGACATTCCGCACATCAAGTGTGAAGTCGAAATAGCCATTGGCAGCGAGCCTCTATGTGACAATGAGTTTGTCACGAAAGTTATGCAAAGGTTTGTCACCTCGTGCATGTGGGACATGGTTAAACAGTTAGACATTATGTTTATGCACACTTGTGTGCGTGCGTATGTATACGTGTGTGTGCGTGCGTGTGTGCGCGCATGCTTGCGTGCATGTGCACTAGTTTGTGTGGGTGTGTGTGTGTGCGTGCACTCTGGTCTGCTCTGTGTCACTCTAGCTGTAACACTCTAGAATACAACTGTACTATTGTTATTTATGTCATGTTGTTGTTATGTTATTACTTATGTTGGCAATTGTTAATTTTATCGCAACTAATGTCATATTTATTTCCTTCAGGTGTTGGTCGATACCTATTACTATGCGATCTGTGATCAAGAAAGCAATCAGCTCAGGAAAATCCTCACTGCCGGACTTTTCGTTCTCGATGGTATCGACACAGGCCGGGCATCCCGACCAGGGACTGATGTTTCCAGACCAGTACAGCGACACCAATAGCAACGAAGTGAAGTTCAGAGGCGAACCGACCGTGATGCCGAACGTTCCGAATACGGTATACTCCCAGTACAGCCTGTCGCAGCCGCCTCCTCAGTTTTCGATCGATCAACAACAACAACAGCAGCAACAAGCACAACAGCAGCAACAAGCACAACAGCAGCAACAAGCACAACAGCAGCAGCAGCAGCAGCAGCAGCCATCGCATCAGCAACAGCAGTTGCAGCAGCCATCGCATCAGCAACAGCAGTTGCAGCAGCAGCAGCAGCCGTCAGAGCAGCAGCAGCAGCTACAGCAACAGCAGCAGCTGCAGCAGCAGCAGCAGCGCATCGTGCTCGGCAACATGGGCTTCACCGCGCAGGAGATCGACGCGCTGCAGTGTGACAAGGACGGCGGCGAGAACCCGCTGCTCGCCAACCTCCTGCACGACGTCATGGTGCGCCAGAAGCCGAGCCCCATGCTCAACAACCTGCTCAGCGACCCGTCCGCCGCCGCCGCCGAAAACGAGCCCGCGTCAATGACCACCAAGCAGCAGCATCATCATCAGCAGCAGCAGCAGCAGCAGCAGCAGCAGCAGCAGCAGCAGCAGCAACAGTTGCGCAAGCCGCGCAAACGAAAGTCGATGTTTGCGGTGGGCGGCGGTGCCGGCGGCGGGGAGCCGCGAAGCCCCGGCCGGAGTCCGGCGCGCGCCAAGTCGCTCGAGGAGGAGCTGCTCCGCGAGAGCGACTACGCGGTGGCGGCGGCGACGGTGGCGCCACCGACGTCCGCCGAGCTGCACGTCGCGAAGATCGCGTCGTCGCTCGACAGCCTCATCGAGTCGGAGGCGGCGAAGGCGGAGCACCGGCGCCGCCTGTCAACGCTCGAGGAGATCATCGACAGCGTCGCAGAGGGCGCCGGCGGTCACGGCCGCTCGGAGGCGTTCGCTGGTCCAGCGCGCGCGCCGTCGCGCGGCAAGCCCGACAACAAGTACGCGTTCCCGGCCGAGCAGCTCGACTTTGCCGACATCCTCGCACAGCACGGCGGCGCTGCGTCGACGAGCTACGTGGACGCGGTGCTCGCGGGCGACGGCCTCGAACTGACCGCCGTCACCGCTGCCGCCGCGCCGCAGCTGACCGCCGCCTCGCAGCTGAACGCGGCCGCGGCGATGGCCGCTGCCGGACAGTTTGCGAAGCCGGCGTCGCTGGAGCGCGTGAAGCAGCGTCGTCCGAGCGACCGGGACGGCACGCCGCTCGAGGCGCTCGACCTCTCCACGCAGAAACACGAGGCGCTTCTCCACCTCGGCGGAGTCGGTGGTCTCGGCGGTCTCGGTGGCAGCGTCAGGGGGGAGGCGATGGGGATGCCGAACCTCCCGTTCCGCCGCAGCCTGAGCGTCGACTCGGCCGTCATGATGAAGCCTGGGTTCTTCGCCGAGCAGCAGAAGCAGCAGCAGCAGCAGCAGCAGCAGCAGGGGAGGAAGCGCGGCCCGAAGCCGGGAGAGAAGCGCAAGGAGCGGGACGACACGAAGAAGGCGGCGAAACGGAAGAAGGGGCTCGACGGCGGCGGCGGCTCCCAGCAGAGGTCGCCAGCGAGGTCGCTCACCCCGAGCAGCAGCATCGGGTCGCTGACTCCGCCGGCGGGTTTCGGCGAGCCAACGATGACGCCGCCCAGTAAGCCCGCGACCCCATCGCAGACCCCGCCGCTGCCCCCGCACACGCCGCCGTGGCAGACGTCCACGCAGACGCCTCCCAGGCCTGCGCCGACGCCGCCGCGGCCGTTCCAGACGCCGCCGCGCCTCTCGCAGGCGCAGACGCCGCCGCGCTCGATACACACGCCCCCTCACGCGCCGTCGCCGACCTCGCAGCGCACCGCCGCCACGGCCCAGACGCCGCCGCGCGCGTCGCAGACCCCGCCCTGCATGCCGCCGTCCGTCACCCCGCCGCTCGCCGCTCCGAAGCAGCCGCCCGCCGAGAAGGTGCTGTCGCCGCAGAAGATCATCGTTGTGTCGTCGGCGAGCAAGAACGCCGCCCCGATCGTCGCGCCGAGGGCCGGCGTTGCCGTCCTCGCGCACACATCCGGCGTCAAGGTCGGCACGTCCCTGCTCAAGTCGCAGTCGGTCGCCGTGGCGACGGCGCAGCTGATGAGCGGCGGCGGCTCGACGAAGCTGTCGTCGGCGAAAGTGCCATGCTACGCTCCCAAGCCGGCGCAGCAGCCCGTCAAGTACAAGCAGGTCATCTCGGGTCTCTCCGCTTCCGGGATCAAGGTGCCCGTGTACAGGCCCCCGCAGCCGAAGCAGCTGACAAGCCCCAGCCTGCCAAAGCCTCAGACGAGTCCGAATATACCAAGGCCGAGGACGAGTCCGAGTTTGCCGAAGACTTTGATTAGTCCGAATCTCCCAAAGCCGGCGTCGAAGACCCCGACGGTTGCATTGACGAGCCTCGCAAAGTTTTCGACGACGAAGGTGACGAGTTCGTTGAAGAGCAAGTCCGGCAGCAAGTTTCATTCTACGCCTAGTCCCAAGTTTCATTCTACTCCTAGTCCCAAATTTCATTCGACGCCTAGTCCTAAATATCATTCGTCCCCTAGCCCGAAATTTCATTCTTCGAGCCCGAAAACGCATTTGCCGAGCGCCAAGTCGAGTTTTCCTCATCAGAAGTCGCGTGCTTCGAGTCCCAATACTCACGTTTCTAGCCCGAAAACGCTCATGACAAGTGCTAAACTTCACTCCACGAACCCAAAGACGGGCCGGCCCGTCGATCCATCCAAAGCGACGTTCAAGCACGGCTCTTCGAAATCCGCCGTCTCCTCTAAGTTCGCGAAGTCGGGGGGAGCTCCGACGACGGTGACCGTCTCCAAGGAGGGGACCTCGAAGCTGATCACCAAGCAAGCGCAGGTGAAGCTGAAGCCGCTGTCGATGCTGTCGGCCGCGTCCTCGGATAAGCTGACCGTCGCGACGACGCCCAGCACCGCAGACTCGGCCTCCTCGGTCGCGGCGTCGGCCGTCACCTCGGCGCCAGTCACGTCGCCGTCCGGCAAGCCTCTGTTTCGCGCCGGCCGCAAGGCGTCGCTGATGTCCCTCATCGACAAGCTGCACAGCAGCGCCAGTAGCGTCAACGTCATGGTCGGCTCGCCAAAGTCCGGACGCAAGGACGACCGATCGAAGACGTCCTCCGGGAAGGTGGCGCGCGTGGAGAGGGGACAGACCGACAGGAAGGGAGGAGAGAAGACGTCGATCAAGCTGACCGTCACCAAGACGATGACGTCGGATTGGACGACGAAGCTGACTTCGACCGCGTCGACGAAATCTTCGAAACCGCAGAGGCCGAGTCAGCCGTCGCTGCGGCAACCCGTGCCGCCCTCGAGCGAGAAGCCCGTTTCCGTTTCGGCGAAGACGACGGCAGATACGTTTAGTAAAACCGTCGATCCGGCTGCGGCAGTGACCCAGGCCGCCGCTCCCGTCTCTCACGCTCAAACGACGACGAGTGCGGCGTCCCCATCCTCAGTCATAGAGGTAGCGGCGACGGAAGATTTAGCCGGGAAAGAGGGCGAGGCGTCATCCATCAATACCGTTCTAGAAATGCACGATCTCTGTTCTCCCGAGGAAGATAAAGAAGCCGCCGCGTCCGCGCACGATTCGAAAGGCGCGAATTTCGAATTGATCGCCATACCGGAGCCCATCGAAGACGCAGAAGTGCTGCCACCTGCCGTCGCGCCGCGAGAAGAGGTGCCGCCGCCATGCGAGGCCGGCCAGGCGGAAGCGACAGTGCCGGAGGAGGTCTCCGTGCCGGACACGCACGTCGACATGGCAAAGGCTGAACCGGCAGTCATCGTCCAGCCGTCGGCTGAAGAGCCGAAGGATTCGACGCTCGCCCAGCCACCGCCGCTAACGGAGAGGCCTCCGCCGACAGAGAGAGCTCCTCCGCCGCCGCCACCGAAGATCGGGAAGCGAGACTCGCCGATCGCGCCCGGAAACAACGGCATCAAGGCCCCTCCGGCGAGCACCCCGCCGCCGCCGCAGCCGGCAGTGGAGAAGGCCGAGCCGGTGCTGCGGCGCTCCTCCTCCGCGGCTTCCTCTCCGTGTGCGGAGGAGCTCAGCAGCCCCGAGGACAGTCTCATCATCGACTACCCGGCCACGCCGAAATCGGCGAAGACGAGGGCGTCGCCCGCGCTGAAGCAGGCGACGCCCGCCACATCGCCGGCCGGCGCGAGGTCGCCAGGGAGGGCGCCGGCGCAGCAGTCGCCGGCGACGGGGAAGTCGCCCGGTCCCGCGGCGAAGTCGCCGTCGACGCCGTACGAGAATTCGAATCCGAGTTCGATCAAGTCGGAGACGTCGTGCGTGATCGACGACGATCTCATGGATGAGGCGCTGATGGGACTAGGATAGGCTTTGCGCGACGAGGCGTTCGATCCCGCCCGCCACCCATCGCACCGGCCGTTACCGTGTGACTTTGCCCTGTTGGCGTCGTTGTGCGAACGCGGCGGTGCCAAGCGGTGCACTTGCGGGTTGAACGTTTGCTGCTTTTGTAGAGTGTACAAAAAGTTTTATTGCGGAGTCGTTTTAATTGCCGTGTAAATGCTTTGTTTTTAGATTGAGTTTAATCGTAGATCTGCTAGTTACCGCATCTTTAGCGGCAGTTTGAATCTGTTGTTATAGAAACCTGTACGAAGCTGTTTTCCACCACATCTTCCCTATCGCAGGCAGAGCCATCCGATGCTCACACATATATATAGCCGCTGAATGCTGAGTGAAATGATGGCTGCTACCACTGGGGCAGTCACTTTGTAAAATGCTTTCCTTTATATATATATATATACATATATGTGCTTCTGCTTATAAATACAATTTTCGGATAGTGCTGCGCTGGAATATGGAGGAAAGCTAATGTGGACAGTTTGCTTCAAGTGTATGATATGACAGGTCCTGACTGCGAGTGTACAAGAAATGCACACTGAATGTACCAGAATCATGTAACTGGTCAGTGTGATGTAAGCTTAGTTTTACTTTTTGTTTGCTGTTTTTTATGCATTTGGAAATTGATATATCTCTATATTATATCAAGAGCATATAAAGAAGGAGAGCGTACAGCGGTGAAATGCGGAAACCATGTTGCAGTATTAGTCGAATTAATAAACGTTTCCCGTTTTCTTTTGACGATTCTTTGCAGTATTATTGATCAGCTGTCCTACTTTGTTAATATAAAACAAACCGCATGTCCCTACGTTGCCCCTACGCTGAGATAATGAGCGGTGAAAATCTGGTATTTTCGCCGAAAACCGACTCGATATACCTGCTGACTGCGACTGTCTCTCGCTTTGAGATAACTTCGGGAAACCTCGCGTGTTTCCGTCAATGATTGACAAATGGAATGAATGACATCTGTTATTGATTGCCATAGTGATGACCCCCACCTGTGCCCACCTCACGCTGGATGTAGTAAACTCTGTAGTACTGACGTAATGAGGCGGCGCTACCATGGCGCTACACAGCTGCGACCGGAAGCAACACACTGGCCACAAAGCGAGAGAGGGTCGCAGTCAGCAGGTATCTCAAGTCGGTTTTCCGCGAAAATACCACATTTTCGCCGCTCATTATTTCAGCGTAGGGGCATCGTAGGGACATGCAGTTTGTTTTATATTAACAAGGTAGGACAGCTGATCAATAATACTGCAAAGAATCGTCAAAGTAAAACGGGGAACGTTTATTAATTCAACTAATACTGCAACATGGTTTCAGCATTTCACCGTTGTACGCTCTCCTTCTTTACAATTATATGCTCTTGATTATATATATATATGTGCGTGTGCGTGTGTGGGCGTGCGTGCGTGCGTGCATGCTTATCTATCCTGATATTATGTACATTTTAAGACAGAATGATGGGAGGTTTTCAGGAATATTGTCACATGAGCAGTTTATATACACGTTTTACTTATTTTACTATAGTTATTTAGAGATGTTCAGAGTGAGATTAAAGTACGTTTGCCATTGTCGCATACAGTTCAACTAGTACAAACTGTTCCGCAAACTGTTCCACTAGTACATTATTGGTGAACATACAACTACCAGAGCAGTTACAGAATAGTGGACTGATAGCTAGGATCTGTCTTTAATGATTTATAATTATCAGCAGGGATAAACCTACAAAATTGTTGATCAGATTGGTCGAAGTGATGCATGGCTTCCCTGTTAACTAAATCGCGCATTTCCACACGTCAGGTGAGTGAAATTATGCATTAACGTTCTCGATGGGTTGTGATAAGCAGCCACTGGTGCACTGCGGTGCAGAGATCCGGGGGAAGAATCTGTTAGGAGTAAACATTTTTGGTGATAAATAAGTGGAATTTCAGACCATGCAAATACTTATATACTTAAATATTCAAAACAGTAGATCTATGTATCCCAAACAGAAGTGGTAATATCCTATCTGAGTAATGTGAAATAGGATTCCATTATTAGGTGTTGTATATAATTTTATTATGTGTACTTTAATGTGTAAATATTTTATCTGTTGTTACATCTGTATTTTGTACATACCATGAAAGCATGTTAATTATTTTCAATCGTGTTATATTTAAACATTGATTTTCATGCATTAACTATACGAAATCAGTGAAAGATTCTATTTGCATTACTATCTTAATCATTAATTGCTGTTCAACGCGTGTTAGTTTATTTAATAATATCATAATAGTGCTAGTGCATATGTAAACTTGTGCAGGGTGTGTCGTAAATCATGGTTTTTAGCTCATCTGACGTAGTCAGATGCAGCTTGTAGAATCGCATGATTATCCGTGCGTCCGTCCGTGCGTGCGTCAACAGTTGGGCACAAATCTTAACCGCTCGACGTACGGTCACGATATTCGGGACGTCGGGGGGGAGGGGGATCGTGAAAAGGACTCCGGATGACAAATTTGGCGGTCAAGGGTCAAAGGTCAAGATATGTAAACGGAGGGGGAATATTTCCCCCTTAACTTAATGTATAGGAGGAAATACGGAATTGCGGCACAAATCTTAACGGCTTGACCTATGCTCTTAATATTCGGTGTATAGTGTTATGGGCAGGAAACCCATCACCAGAGCAAAATTGGAGGTCACAGGTCAAAGGGCAGTGGGGGAAAGGTCAGATATCAGACATATAGCCCATGGCCTAATGGACAGAGTGAAAAACTTTTTTTGTTTCAGCGCTGACCTACCATTTTTATCACTTTATTGAAAGGACCATGAAATGTGCTTTCCACTGACGTGCGAAGAGTAAGTGTCTGATAACCTTTTGACCCTCAAGAGGAGGGTTAAACATGGATTCCTGAACTGCCTCAATGACGTCAGTGTTTTCCTATTCATGGCACATCCATAATTTAGAAACCCAATAAGCCTGGATAGCCGAACGCGTACAGCACAGGCGTCACGGCTCAAAGTTCGTTGGATCGAATCCCATCTGATTTTTTATTATTTACCTGTTTTCTGTCTTTTTCTATCTTTATCCATTTAACTATTTTTGTCCAATTAATGCAAATATTTACATGATTTATTTACAACAATTTAATAACAACAATTAATTTTTTTATAGGGTTAGGGTTAGGGTCACAATGCACCATAAAACAGGGGTTTCAGGCACGCAATTTGTATCAACCAATGGGATTTGGGAGGTATGCAGAATGCAGGTTGCTGAAATTATGTGTACGCAACTGCGTATCTGCATATCTGCGCCTAACAAAGGTGTCACTGCGCACGACTTAAATGGTACGTTTATAACCGTAGCAACAGACCTCAGATGAGCCCAGACGCTCTGCAGCTTTTGATTATATGATTAGATAGGATTTGTGAATGTTATTATATCAAATGGCTCTATGGCTATATATCTGCTGAATCAGATACATGAATACACGCTTCCGCATCTCACAAGATCGTTTCTTATTGCAATATTGTTATAAGGAAAGTAGCCAATTTCATTACCAATAATCTTGTATTGTAAGTATACCTGCGAGCGAGGTGTCAGTTCGTTGTATTGGGGCGGTTTTAGCTTGCACATTCTGTAGATTCGCTTTGCTAAATGATTTACTATCTCACTTGCAGTGGTTAATAGGTGGGTTTCATACTCGTGAAACGTGAAAGGCAGGATGATATGGTCACTCAGTAATACTGCTTATCTGTAACACCGAAAACATATACGTGGCAGGTAATGATGCATTTTCGGTAACGTGCACAAGCTCACTAATATGCGTTTTTCCAGTTGTCATGAGCAGCACTTGATAAATATGTTGTATATAATGTCTTTCAATTAAATAACATAGATTTTCTCCATCTGTGTCCGTGTGTGCATGCGTATACATGTGCGTGTGCGGAACATATTATGAACAATAAATAAAGGTTCAGTATGTATGTGCGTGTGCATGTAAAATATCATATACCTTATGTCTTATATGCATGTTTTCTATAGAAGGGCTAAAATACATTGTAATCATCTACACAAAAAGTCATTTTGTGTTTTTCAATAGTGTGCTTGTTTCGTTTGAGTCTCATCTGCTCTGAAATCACAGGACCACCTTCCAGAATTATTGGATTTGCTCCTGCATACCATCTAAGTCATAAAATTAACTGACAGCACAACTGAAATGTGAGCATACTGCAATTAGAATTTCATCATATAATAGCTTTAATTTAAGAATCATAATAGAGCCACAGTAGGCAAAGGTATAATGTGTATCACTGATAGCACGTTGTAAATATGAATCTCTTGAATGTTTCGACAAAACACCAATGAATATAAATACATTCAGCAACAAAGTAATCTGAACAGTTACAGGAAGATTAATATACTAAAATAGAAATATCATATATGTAAATAACGTCAGGATATGTTGTATAATTATTCGACAACGACTGACCAAAGCCCTGATTCGTGGGCCCGACTGGAAGACGGTGAAATTGGTGACACCCCTGTGAGAGAATACATTGTGATAAGCACCTATTAGCCAATAATCAATGTCACTACTCAGGCCAATATTTAAACGGTCACGTAAACCAGTTGGCTGTATAGCATTGCCAGGGACACTAGTGTGTATCACTAGTGTACAATAATGCTTAAGTGCCAGTAAGATAAGCTTGAAGAAATGAACACTGTTCATCGAAAAAGACTTAATTAACTAAGCTCTATGATTAAAATAAATATTTTGAAGTTATACATGCACATACTATATGCCTTTTTTAATATTATATAAGGACTATGGATATTGAGATTACAACGTCTGGAGACAAATATAAAGAGATCGCTAGAACAGCTTTCAAACTTATTTTCAGTTGTTGGGTCTTAATTAACCTACACAACTTTTTTTGTTATTAAATATTCATTAGCAGTAAATGGAAACTTACTCCATTTAAACCTGCCAATCGGTAGTCATTGACATCAATGGCGGCACCATTGCCTGCAATGTTTCTTGCATTAAGGTTGCGCAAATCATTTTGTTTCACGTACTATAAATGAAAACTCCTATTCAACTGTAAATTAATATCTAGCATAACCAATTTACAATTTAAGTAATGGTAACTGTGAATTTGTAAGAAATATTGTACTTAATTACTGACTACCGTATCGTACGTATGTATCTACTTACTTTATCATGATAGAAAATAAGAGTAATCATGAATGCTAAAACCTTCAAAAATGTTTGAAAATTGTAAGTGGTCTGCATGAAGCTTGTGAAGGTTTACTTCAATGCGACCCGATTCTACATCGTTTTCCCTGGCACCCTCCCTAGATACCAAAAAACTGCCCGAAATAAAGTGTTGAATTTTCATATTCGAAATGAAGGGCTGAATTAATATTTATTTATGGACATGCACAACAACAGCCTGTTGCTCACATGGCTTGTTGGGGGAGGCGATAGGTTAATGTCTGTACCGCTGCCATAATTGTGAAGGTCCACTAACATACAATAGCAAGTATTTAAAACACGTTTAAACATTTTGTCCAACTGACATTTAAAATTACAACTAGTTAGGTAGCATAGATAACCAACAATTGAACTGGAAGTAATGGTGAAATCTGCAAAAGCAGTGTACTTTACAGTAATAGATAGAAGGCAGCTCCACATAACTGGTTTTCATTAGCAATATAATACTGATTAGGCTCTGTATATAATTATATATCTACATTATATACAAAACATATGGCACTCTTGAAACATGACTGAAGTCTGCACAAATTTCGCTTTAAACAAAACAGTATTTCTTCCAAGTGACGAATAAATTAAATATGCATATATTTCTGGAAATTTAACATAGTTTTCATCACACTGCATGCTCCTGTTACTGCTAATCATATATTAGACTATCTGTTCATAACATCCTGTCGTGTCCCTCCTTACAACTCCTGGTCCCTCACCTATCAGGCAAACCTAGTCACAATGGCACTGGAACTTTTTCACCTCAGAACCCTTCCTCATCTTCCTTGCGATGTCCCGCAGCTGCCTTGCACGCACCAAGCATGACTCTCCTCGACACAAGGAGGGCATAAGAGAAGAGAGCCCCACCGGTGCCCCCTCCCGGTCACACCTTCTTCACCAAGTGTCACTCTCCACAACACAAGGAGGGCGCATAAGAGACGGGAGCCCCACGGGTGCCCCCTCCCGCTCACACCTTCTTCACCAAGAGTGACTCTCCACAACACAAGGAGGGCGCATAAGAGACGGGAGCCCCACGGATGCCCCCTCCCGCTCACATCTTCTTTACCAAGCGTCACTCTCCACAACACAAGGAGGGCGCATAAGAGACGGGAGCCCCACGGGTGCCCCCTCCCCCTCACATGTTCTTTACCAAGCGTCACTCTCCACAACACAAGGAGGGCGCATAAGAGACGGGAGCCACACGCGTGCGCACCCCCGACAGCCCTGCTCATCATCTTCTCTTTACCACAAGCGTACTCCACTCGTCCCAACAAACCAACAAGGAGGGCGCCATGAAGCAGAACCAGCGGAGCCTCCCACGCGGTTGCCCCTCTCCGTCCGCTCCACAACCTCTCTCTTCTTCCACGAACACAAAACACGTCACTCCTCCCGGCACAAGCGAGCGAAGGAGCGCGCGCGCATAAGAGACGGGAGCGCCCACAGCGCGCTGCCCCCCCCCCCGAAGAGCGGAAGCCCCGACCGGTGCCCCCACCCTCGCCCAGAGACCCGGACGGCCCCACGGGTAGCCCCCGCCCACCCTCTACCCCCCCCGAGACGGGAGCCTTCCACGTGTCCCACGCTCTTGCTCCGAGACGGGAGCCTCCACGGTCCACCCTCCCCCCCGCTCAGCTACTCCATTCATCCACAATGGCCTCAAGCCACCTCCTCACACTTCTCCTTGCGCTGCTATAATCCTCGCAAACCCAGTCCACCAACCCCAGGTGTCACCAACTGTCTATCCCCCACTCGCCCAGGCTTGTTCGCCGGACCTCGCTTATCTTACGTCCATGCCTGTGACAGCCGCAGGTCGCAGCCGCGAGGGTCGTGCGCCCCTGGCTGTTAGCCGCTCCTCTTGTACAAAGCGTCGACACGCCCGGCCCCTACCACCTTCAGTCCCCAGAGCGGGGGAGCGCGCCGGGCCGGGAGGATCGCATCGCGGCCGCGCGCACCTTACATATTAGTGTCCCTCAGTTGGAACGTCCGAGCGGCGCGTGCGAGCACTACGTGTGACGAGCGCAACGTCGATGACGCACAGCCCTCTGTAGGCGGGCGCGACGCCGTACACCGTCGCCGTCCGTACCCAAAGCTCGCCCCCCTGCACGACGCTTCGGTCTGCCGTCGGCTCATGATCACTGCCCCGCGTGCGCGCCTCGGTCCGCTCGCGCGCGTGCCCCCGCCCCGCAGTCCGCGGCGCTCCGTCCTGTAGGTCGTCAGCGGCCCTGCTGCCGTGTGGCGAATCCCCGCACGAGACTAAGCGTCGCACATAGTCTCACGGCCCAGCATAAAACGGGAGGAGCACCGATAACGAACTAAGTCCATCTCCAAACGATAATACCATTAACCCCCCGCGCCAAGCTGCACATTCTAAGACGCTGTGGGATAATTTGAGTCTGGTCATACCCACTGGCGAGGCCTAGATTTTGTGTTTATCTTAATGGAAAAAATTCGAATCCCTCATTGCTGGTATAACATTTTTTCCTAGTAATTATGGAGAGATATAAAAGAAGAAAAAACAAATGGCGTGATCAACAGTTTTAAGAAATAGCATATTCTGCCAGTAAACTGGTCGGCATCAACCAACCAGCTCGGGTAGTTGTGACCCAACTTCATAAACGGATAAACGCCATTGATATTTAAAAGATAAACCACTCCCCCTACTGGGTTATTGGCCAGCGTCTTATAAGAGAATATTGATTTAATTCCCCTAATCAACTTTGTGAAATCAACGTTGGACTGGGGCCGCATTCAAAAGCACAATCCATCGAGTGTTCAAGTTGCAAGAGTGTGTTCGTAAACACGTGGTGTCGGGCTATTTATACTGGAATCAAATAGCCTAACTATGTTATATTGTAAATAGTGCTGCCCATACGCTGCTGATACGACTGTCATTAAGTCAAATCTGTTGATATCCAATACCAGATAACCAAGTGACTATGAAATGGGACGAACACTTGGCCGCTCTACTTTGGAAACCAACTCGTAAAAGTTTTCTTTAAATTTGTCGCGCCACAGTTCGTTACGAACGCGACCTGACTGTCACATTATATAGACTTGGCGGTAAGCTGCCTATGTGGAAAAATAGAAGATTAAGGTGCTCCTGTTCGTGTGAACATTTCCTCATCGCTTCTGATAAATACTAAGTCACGTATTCAACACCCAGCGCGGCATAGCAGTTTATTTGCGTCGCGTACCGAACGGTTGTTTTGGTTGCCAGTTTACGTAACGTTAACACGGTAACGTACACCGTCCAGTGAAGTATATCACTCTAAGTCTTGATTCAAGCATAAATAAACGATGTCTAAAAGCCCACGCGAACTGCCTAAAAGGTGCAGCATAGGAATAGGATATTATGATCCGTATAGATAATGTTTGGGCAAAGTATACAGACATGTCGATGTTTGAATAAATACTCAGATCCGACTTCTTTTTTACCTGATGGCTGTTCAAAGCACCACCTTGTTCGTTAGCAAGTTAAAGTCATTTTACGAACGAGCGCTACAACGGGAGATCAAATAGCAAACTAAATCCTAATGAATTTTTTTCGTATCTCTTGATTAATTTAGTAAGAAAAATTAAGTGCCCCTTCTCGTTGGTACGCTCCTGAATTGAAAGTTTTTTCCTCGAATTTGATATCTAAAAATAAAGTTTGTCATCGCGCACACGGCACGACGAGCACAAATATTCTTCGTGTCCCGTAATTACGAACAGAAACTATAATTCATGAAAATATGTAAATTGTACTTGCATTAATCGACAAAAATAAACATTCTTTACGGAGGATCCTTATAATCAAATATACACGTAATTCATCGAAATTCAATTCAAAACGAAGCTGTACCGAAGTCTAATATCTCGTATTATATCAGCGTCCTTGTTCGAACAATGACCACGTCACACATAGGCTTCCTCCAAGCGTAACGTGTCTCGGTGCAATACATGTGTTGGGTGTGGTGTGTGTTTTGACATACATACTGTCCAGTCCATAACAAGGTTGCATACACTTGGGGGGGTGGTGTTTGGTGTCGCGTGTTGTGTGTGGTAGTGTGGTGCTGTCACGGTGTGTGTTCGTGGTGTGCTGGTAGTGACTGGTGTGGGTGTGTGTGTGTGTCGTGTTGATATATCATTTGCCAACATGGGGTGTCGTTCCTCATACATGTGCTAACCATAACTTAGCAATTGGATCTAACTAGTGGCTAAACATTTGTAAACCATGTACTAAGTGTTCGTATTATGGTGTGTGTGTGTGGTGTGGTGTGTGGGTGGTGGTGCCTCCTTTGAAAATGAACGTATCCCCATCCCAGCAGATTGTGTGTATCCTGTATCATTCGAATCGTCACTCTTTGTTTTTTCCACGTTCTATCCAAATCAATCCTACAAAGGAGCCCTGTTCTATGATGGAGTTATCTTATTGCAATAAGTACCTATTTTTTGCACAATTATATGGACACACTGCTGCGCATAGAGTGCAAAGAACAGGATTCTGTTTTAGCGTCGATTCGCCAAATATGTGTCCAAGTTACGTACACGACAAATTGCAAAATTTACACCTTATTCAAGCTGAAAGCTCATGGCATTCCTCAAGTCATCCCTTTTTTTTAATTAGCCACTTAGTATTTAATTCTGCGAATATTAAAGCCACTTGTAATGGCTCAAAGTGATTCTTAGATGTGAAAAAAAAACATTCTATTCCATATGTCGCCTGGGTCGTTCACACGGTTCCATCTTTTGAGGCTCAGCATAAAATGATTCCACAAAGTTCTGAATGCTGCAAACTTGGAGTAAACCTTAATACAAACATAATGGATAAAAAACAATTCAAGGCAACTCTGTAATTGCACTATACAGCATTGATTGTCCGAAGATCACTAGCTTAATGACAGCCATGTCTATGAACACAACAAAAGTAGAACGCAATTTTCGACACCATAATTTTCCCTGGCAAAACGCTTGGTCCAATGATTCTGCACTACAGATGACCTAAAAAAGGTCTTAATGTTTATTGCTTAAAAAAACATGTGCAGATAGTGAATACTGACCCAATTCGATTGAAAAATACATGTTCATTCTGTCATACGCCTGCTGGGACCAACATTACTCGAAAATTATCGACCGCATATATATAATAAATAATAATAGATATATATACAATATATACTATAATATATGTGCATATGCAATATCATCATAAGCGCCTCTTAGAACTAGACACATAAGCTTAAATCAATAATGATAATGATTGTAGAAAAATCGATTATGCCAAATCTGAGCAAGACAACCATGCATCTCTAGCAGGCTTGCTAATAGCTTAACAATAATGCGATGGCACGGTAGAAAACAACTTAGTCAACCGATAAATGTGGAAAAGGTATATAGTATTACCTGTCATCTTCGGCAGACAACTTATGGAAAGGCTGGTTGATTACACCTAGAACTGGCACACCAGTTGCCCAGTCAAAGACGCCAATGAGCACAGTGACACACTGCAGCCCAACTGGGTGAATGCCATTCACTGCTTTTACTCCACAGTCACCACTGATGTACTCTGCAGTTGAATCTATAGTACAATAATATTCTGACATAAACATTCAACTCACAATTCAAGTGGTAATTACATGGTCTTTTTAACCTTTAACGGTACTGTAGGGTTAAAATTCAATTTTCTCACTTCCAATAAATGACACAAATGCTGTAGCTAGTGCACATCTCAACAACTGCTTGGTCTGAATGTGGTCACTAAGCACTGCAGTCAAATAACTTGATATATTAATTACGAAATTACAAAGTTTTACTTCACAATGATTGTTGCTTACCTATTGGATCTATCCACACTCCAAGATCTTTTAACGGCAGCTGAATTGTTACATTATTTAGATCCACTTTCATCCTGACCTCTTTGTGTACGGCTACTGCTAATAAGCAAGCCGCCTCCATGTTACCATCAAGAACCTACACAATGAGATTAAATTACTCATTTTAGGTGAATAAGAATATTTAGTTTTTAGTTTTCGAAGTGTAAATAATAAGTATAGTGTATTTTGCAGCTTATAGAATGCATTTTCTTCAGAAAATGTCTCCAAAAACTACCTTGCACCTTATAAGCTAAAGGTCGTTGCAGCAGAAATCATAGCCAAGCTTTTTTAGCTACAATATGGTACATTATACCCCTGCGGAATAATCTATAGCATATATATACTAACCAATGCTGGCAGTGAGAAGGGCTTATGAAATACCAAGCACTTCAGGGGTGAAACTCGAAAACGACAAAGGTGTACATACAGCCTTATTTATGGTGAACATATACCTGGGGGAGCAGGGGCTACTATGCAGCCAAACCTTTTTTCAGATTATTACTTTCTAAATTTGGGTTGCATGTTATAAGCTCCTACAAGTATTTAAGAATTGACTTATTGCCACAGCAGTCATCACACAAACCTTAGCTAAGAGTTCACACGTTTCCTCTTCTGTGTTCTTAACATCTACTCTAATAGTCTCGCCCTTGGTGTTGGTGAATTTATTGCTCTCCTCTCCAAATATCCGTTCTGCGATGTCTGGAAACTAAAACACGAATAATGTGGTAACTGGATCCGGTGGAATAACACATATTGCTTTGCATTTTACAGTTTGGAACAAGACTTTAAGCTGCACGAAGTTGCTAACCTATGAACTCTGCCAGCCTAACGACTTGTAAAGTGTACAAAAGACTAATATAAAAAAGTTCTATAGAAAAAGTAATTTGATATTTCTCATGGGCACATATACCTTTCTTCCAATATCATGCTTGACAGTTTCCTGAATCAACACGTCTCCTAGTGTTTTGAAGTCCTGGAGAAACCTCTTATTCTTCTGATTTCCTGTCTTCTCCTGCACTAGCAGCTCAAAGAGAGCTCGCTCCTGGCGGCACTGCCGCGCGATGTTAGCCGCCTTTTCAGAGACGTTAATCAGAGCTTCTAAAAATTCCCGCATGTTGCTCGAGATCTGCATCAAACAAAAAACACGTGTGATTATCAATTACTTTTACATTTATTATCATTGTGATTACTGGTTAGTGTGAGAGGGTGAGCATTTCTGTAAAAATTTACATCAGTCTGCACGCAGACTTCCATGTCTGGGTGTTGAATAAGCAATGGGGCATGCACATGATTCTATTAAACCAAATTCTATCAGAAATATAACAAATAATCAAGACCTCTGGTGACTGGAAATGTATTGTCTGGTGTGTAATAAAGAAAGAGTTCCACAAATTTCACATCTTCCTGTGATCTTTTCTGTAGAAATCTGCAAAGGTTCCTGTTTCATGTATTGGAGCCAGCTGGTTAGTCTACATAAGACACGGGACCACTATTAACTCACTACCGGTTCATTACCTTGTTAGGTTAGAGGATGTGACCCGTCATCGGCCGACCAATCGGAGGGCCCGCAGCTCGTGCACTAAAGCTGACGCGATGTTTTGTGGTTGCATTATTTAAGCTGGCTATCGTGTGTGGCAATGACATGCACATGGAGATGGGTGGATGGTTACTGGTAATTTAAAACGAATTCTTTCAATGTATGGCCCTATTCGACTGCACGACTGTTTTCCAGGCACAAATGTGGTGTCGGTTACTAAATTCGCGACATTTATTAAAAACGCTGGACAGCATGTCATAACTCTCATGGTGCACAGCTGAAATACATGGCTACCTAGCTTTAATATTGTCACTCGGCCGAAAACGGTCGAAATACTATTTTTCAGCTCCTGAAATTCAACGAACGTCTACCAATAGCACTATGATGTGATAGCGCCACCTGGTGGACTATTCCCACATCCGCTTCAATTGCTCTAAAAAAATAACCGATTGCTTCCAAGTGCTGCTTTTGGCATAGCAGACAACAAGACATGTCGCGTTCGTTTAGCATCAAATTTGACAAAATAGTCCTTTTATTTTCAGAAAAATATTCAATCCAATGCAAAATTTGACCAGTTTTTTATGTCCGATCATGTGGCATTCTAAATTACCGAGAAATTGTATTCGACGTGCAATTTTTTAAATTTTTTTTTATTGATCACATAGAATATCAGGTTTCGCATAGGCGAATGCAATTTTATTCAATGTAAATAATTCTATTCAACTCTAGCAACTACTCGAACTATGCACCGACTTGGCATTCCGCAAAGCAGACGGGCACCGGAATGGCCTTGTAGCCGGGTGGGTGGGGTCGAAGAAATCGCCAAAACTCAAAAACCAAACAGCGAATTAAACCAAAATTTTGCACCCGTGTGCAGCGGTGTTTGTCGGAACGTATTTTATTGCGTTTGACAGATTCCGAGAAAAAAAAGTTTCTATACACATTCTTCGACGTTAGGCGGTGGACCGTGGTCCGAGACCACCAAAATCTCTCTCAGTCCAGTAAATTTAACAAGTTAAATGGACCGTCGGTCCACCAGTTTTTTTCAGCCACTCTAGTTACAGTATTTAAATAATTTATCAAAGTATTTATGAGACTACTTACTGTACTAGATATACATAACACTTTTTAAACTTTGTTTCATCGCTAACCAAACGTCACGTCCATTCTAATTTATGGCATAGACTGGTACTCGCTCCCACCTCTCGGTTTGCCACCTCTAGTCGCCCAACGAGCAATTAAGCCCAGAAGTGGGAGCAAGTACCAGTCTAATTTATGGCATTGCGTGACTTTGCGTCGGGAAAAATGCGGTCCTAAAAGCAAATTTATGGATCATTAATAATAATACGGCGTTCTGAACACGAGTATGTAATGAATTTGTAAATTGAATTGTATTGAATTGTATTTTGAATGCGACTATATTTGATAGGTTTATCACTACTGTTATTATTGTAGTGTGTAGAAAGTATGTGATGTATATTTGATAGGTATTCTTACTGTTATCATAGCAGTGTGTAGAAGGAATGTGTGATACATTTGATAGGTATTCTTACTGTTATCATAGCAGTGTGTAGAAGGAATGTGTGATACATGCTCACTGACGACTAACGCAGAGTTGTTTTTCTATTTTGCAGCTTTTATTGTAGTGTGTAGAAGGTATGTGCTGTATATTTGATAGGTATTACTACTGTTATCATAGCAGTGTGTAGGAGGTATTATTATAGGTAAAATACAAAATGATATTACTGTTTTGTTCTTTATTGTCAAAAATGTCAAAATAATATTGGTCCAGTAAAATTTAGTCCGGTCCAGTAAATTTTGCTGGCTTGGTGGGCCGAAGGTCCAGTGTTTAGAAATTTCATTCGTGAAGACTGTATACAGGCCCGTGACCACTATTAAATCACTACCGGTTCATTACCCTGATAGGTTAGAGGATGTGACGCGTCATCGGCCGACCAATCGGAGGGCCTGCAGCTCGTGCACTAAAGCTCACGCGATGTTTTGTGGTTGCATTATTTAGGCTGGCTATCGTGTGTGGCAATGACATGCACATTGAGATGGGTGGATGGTTACTGGTAATTTAAAACAAATTCTTTCAATGTATGGCCCCTATCCGACTGCGCAAGTTTTTCAGGCACATTTGTGGTGTCGGTTACTAAATTCGCGATATATTTTTAAAACGCTGGACAACATATGTCATAACTCACATGGTGCACAGCTGAAGTACATGGCTACCTAGCTTTAATATCTAGCCACTCGGCCGAAAACGGGCGAAATACTATTTTTCAGCTCCTGAAATTCAATTCTTAAGTATAGGAATTAATGGAGGATTTAATAGTGGTCTGTTCTCATAACTGACCATAGGTGCCACCACCACTCCGGTGTTATCTGCCGGTAACAATGCGTAAAAATAGTGCTAACTATTTCATCTCAACTACACGTAAAACACAAGTATATTACATATGTACCCAGTAAAGCTGGCATAACACATTTAGACATAACAATGCTCGCAGTGGGCTAATAGCACACTAGTCAAACAAAATACACGTCGGTAAGGTTATAATTTAACATTGGCCGAAAATCGGCGATGTACTGCATGAAGTTATGCATCTATAGGATTATTAATACTAGCAGATAACATATATGTCATCAGTGCAAAGTACATGCATCAGTAATGTGATGCATACGGCGGTAATGTGCCACAAGCCTGCGAGTTAGCGTAATTCATTTTTGCCTGATTTTATGTTTTCCCCTTGAAAGTTTGAATAGCCCGACCAGGCTGTGCGACGGATTGTCTATACATGGTCTATATGGTCTAAGGTCTATACATGGTCTATACACGGTATTCTAACCCTAGCAATACCGTTTCTTGGAGCTAGCCCGTCCCAAACTAGACGAAACTGCATTCCTTCCACAGATACTGACACTTTGTCACACGTTTAATACAAACCTTGATCTTAACCACTAAAAGTTACTTATGTCAAAATCTAGTAGTAATGCCAATGGCTAATGCTACTGGGAATGATCACACCGTGACAACGAAGGAAGCAGTCATCGCGTGTCGTCGACACTATGCTTATATTATGTGATTTCCGGTAGCCCCGTAAACCGTGACCACAGGATATTACGCAAAACATGGAGACTGTTGTTGCCTTGTTTCTAAACAGTTTCTGTGCAAGTATTCCATCAAATTCGGATTGTGTCAGTCCGATTCACACTAACTAAGTGTGTTGATTATTTTGTGTCTTTCACATCATCTAGAAAAACACGTTAGTAGTAGTTGTTTGACTAAGGTAATAAAATTTTTTTGCGACAAAATATTCAATATCGTTCCAGCAGGTGGCGGCAGATAAATTTTTATCGGATTTGTCTAAAACTTTGCGATCATATGGTAAACTGAAGAGTGTACGAGATAACTTAGAAAAGCTCAAAAGTAAGTCATCAATTAAGTAAAACTAATCAGAGGGTTTACATGCTTGTTCGTTTTACAACTTAGCTGATAGTAATAAGTGACAATCACGCCACAAGTACTTGTTTATCCGTAGAGTCCGAGTGTTCAGTGTTTCTGAGTTTGTGTAACTCGGCAGTGTCAGTCGGACTCGTAACTAACAGTAGGTACTACTACTAGGTAGGCTAAGGGCTAACAGTCTTAGGCAGTGTGCGGGTAGTGTTAGTAACACTACCCCCCACCACAGGCACCGTCTCAATAAAGAAAAATAGTGTTAAATAAACACGAAATGTATTTACTACCAAAGAGTCATGTTTCTTTACTCTCTTTCGCCGAAATTATTGCCGATAATTTCCTGTAAATGCTGTTCAAATGCTCCTCTGCGACACACACGCACTCCGCTGCACGTTTACACTTATATATATATATATAAATATATATACTATATTATACTCGGTCTATCTAATATATGTGTAAACGTGCAGCGCTGTGCGTGCGGTGTACGTGTGTGTTGAAGAGCAGCATTTGAACAGCATTTACAGGAAATTATCGGCAATAATAGCAAATAGGTGAAAGAGAGTAGAGAAACATAAGACTTTGGTAGTAAATACATTTCGTGTTTATTTAGCATTATTTTTCTTTATTGAGACGCTTCAAGTGCCTGTAACACGCACACCGTCTAAAAAACGGTAATACATCGAATAACCTGTGTATTGGCGTTAGGCTCTCAGCCTGGATTAACTAGTGTAGTAGACTGGTACCTGCAGCGCTTTCGACGCGGTTACTGTCAATGACAGTGTCTAAAACTGTCTATGCATACTACTTATTAATATTACTAGTATTGGCAGTATTGCTAGTTTGTATAAAACACTTAAACAGTTTCACGTTTAACACTTGCAGCGTTATTTGTTATGATTGATTGTTGAAAAGCAGCACAGCCATAGGTGCCTGTACTTGTAGTGTACTACTTGTGTTACTAATGCACATGTCTAAAAACTATATATCAGTGCACATTGTGAATAAATTTTGTTTAAAGGGATTTATTACTATAGGTTCTCTTGATATTTTCAGATAAAATAGGTTAAAATTACGCTACATAAAAAGTTTTATGCGTCAATATTTATTTTTTATTTTTTATAAAACCGACGGCTATACCATTGCTTACAGTGACGGTGGCGCCACGAAGTGCACTCACTGAAAAAGTTGTGCAAAGCAACGTTTCGGCTGCAGGCTACAGAGAGAGGGTGTTTCTTATTTTTTTATTTGAGAGCAGAAGTATTGCAATATCTTATAAATGACACTTAGTTTCAGTTATAATATGGACGAATTTGTCCTAAAATAAATATCGTTTGGTTAAATAGCATTCAGGTATAAATATAATTGCACTTTTGTGATTGGCCCTCAGTCTGTAACATGCAAAATAAATTAGCAAATGCGCAACTTTTTTAGGGTGGCAGCATAATCGCGGGTGTCATGTCAGTGCCCAAAAATGAAGATTATGAAATTCAACGTTGTTTAACTTGTTTTATGACAAACGTGAATGAGTAATTATAGAAATTTGGAGGTATGCGCTATTATTTATTCATAATTTACTGTTGTCATTATACTCTAAAACTCTAGGGGAAAGTATCTCCCTTTAATTTTACCTCGTAAACCTCGTAAATAATAGTCTTCAAAGTTCAAGGGACTATATCGAAGATGGAGAGACAATTTGATCAAATCGACATATCAACATTGCGGATCGAAATAGAAAAAGCCACAAATTTGCTTTATTTAAAACGAAGGGAGAGTTTCAATACGGAATAACAGAAACAAAGAAGCTAAATTTAAAAGGATCTTTAGAAGATGGCGCATGCCGAAAGCAGTGATCACACTCAGATGATCGAGTGCAATGAACAGGCTTCATTTGTCTAATACATACTGAGAACATGGCTAGGAAGCTGACTGCATTCTTGTGCAGCGCTTCTCGCATGGTCGTATGGTGCTGGCAATGCTAGACACCTGTGCTGCCTTCTCCTATTGGTGAACAGGGTGCGAAATTAACGCAAGTTCGGAGTCAAATACTCCCATATTTACTGTCGGACTCCCTGATTTGACATATGCAGGAGTCCGTGTCACTCCCTGAAAATTCTACTATATACTAAGTTACTAGTTTGTTCCAGAGCATGACCTCGTGGAATTACCGTATTTTTTCAGCAAACGTTCAAAGAAAATTTGGCAGACGTGCAACCACATGAATCTTCAAAATAAGCACATGCGTTATTGTTAATATCTTTAGTTTTAAACTTCAGACTGCGGACTCCCTTATTTTGCTGCGTACTCCCTCTTTTTGAGAGCAGGGAGTCTGTTGGACTCCCTTGTAACAGACTCCCTTGTTCAAAAGTTAATTTCAACCCCTGGGTGAATGTTTGTCAGTGGTCGCTTGTTCAACAATGTGACAAAATGACGGCAAAATTGGAGATGCTTGTTGCAATAACGGTGAAAAAAAATTAGATGACAGTATCATGTAAATATGTAAATATAAACATATATCTAGTGTACATATGTCTATATACATACGTAATATATCTAGTGAGTAGAGATATTTTGAGAAAAAAACTGAATACTTAAGGTGACAAGAACTATGACTATATCAGTAAAAATGTTCCATATATTTCCCATGTCACAGTGTGTTCCAGTTTCTGTTTGGAATTGGAAATGTGAAAAATATGTTGTGCCTGCAAAATTTGGTGTCTTACTAGTACCTTTGCATACTTTATTGGTTTACATTTTATGAGCATGACGTCACAACAGGGCACTGAATGCATTATCTTTAAACATGAGTTCAACCCTTAAATTTTAAACTTTTTAATGATAAATGTCAGCAAACATTTTACCTATCAAACAAATCCTGTATAGGAATTTATAGAATGTTTTTCTGAAATTTCCAGGTGAAAAATTATTAATACTGAATGTGTATATCCTAGTGATGTCACGATCATCGATTATACTCGATCATCGGTTGAACAGTGGCTCGAAGTCCACAGCGCTTGGTTTCATTCAAAAATTCCATAAGGATCAATTCATAAAAAAAAAAAAAAATTGAAAAAAAAAATTTGAAAAAGTTTATGAGAATCAGAGATATTCTCGCTAGCTTATATCATATTTATCCTTGCTATAATCATACATATTATACACACAGTAAAGAAACAGTGCAAGACAAACATCCTCAAACACTGCTATAACCAAGCACATACATGCCACACACTAACATGGCACACGACGTACGTCACACACAGGCCATCAAGTCACCCCGAGTAAACCGATATGTAAAACGATTCATCGGTTACTTGGGTCCCAACCGATGATCGATACGAAATTACAACCTGATTGACAACTACTAAATAATAATAACATTAAACAACTTCTATACCCCTACATTGCTTTTTCACGTTCGGGTACCTCTTCCAGAGAGACAATTGTGGAGATTGTGCTGTAAATCTTCATGGCCACTATGTGCAGGTAGGTCTGGTGCCAGGTCTAATCGCAACAATAGGCTTCGCTTTCACCGGTAGTCTTCAACCGGAGAACAGGAAAAAGAAGCTAGCTGGTTCAGGGCGCTTGAAGCTGTTTTTTTTTTCACTTCGCCTAACATTTTTTTGCCCCTAACATGTGCATGTATGTTGTCTTTATACTCGCCCAGTCGAATTTTTTGCATATCGGTGTGGGCCATACGCCCAGTGGAACGCTCAGTGCTGTTGACTCTCCTGGCGTTTTCTCATGCTCTTCAGAGTTAAGGCATTAATACATGTAAACCGGTAGCCCAGAATCGTGACAGCTAGTCGTCTGGCCGCGCCGTATAGCGCATCATGTACAACAGAAGTTCGAGCCTGTACAAGAACTGCCAACAGGATGGAAAGCTCAGACGCTAGAATAGGGCAGAAGGATTAGATCTCAATCGTCTTTTGCATAAATTGTTCTCATGTTGTTGGTGACGTGTCTGTTATTATGAACAAATATTATCAAAATGAACACTGCCATCCTTCATGCCATTTTTGCATCCATGCACGATGGATGCTGCTATCGATGCCCCGAAACATTGCAGCTTTTTACGTGCTGGACGTCCTCTTCTGCTGCATACATGAATAACAAGACGAACCTGGGATAGCGTATGATGACAACTAACGGAAATACATTTGCTATGCTGCAGCTTTTTGGCAGTTTAAATGAGGAAATTTGTCGACTTATCTTTTTGCACAGGTTATTGAGCATTAACTAATGTACGCATAATGGTTGTGTGTAAGAATCAATTACCAGCGCTCTTCAGCCACCTTCAAGTGTTGGGCTTCTGTTGTGTGAAAGCAACCTAAATAATTTCTTGTGGCATAGATAATATGCAGAATAGATAATAGCCAGAAAAAAAGTGCTCTTTTGTGAAATGTGACATATTAATTAATTTCTATTTTGTCCAGTCTTATTGTATTAATAAAACCACAAAAACCAAAGTTGAATCCAACAATAAGTGTAAACATTGTGACTAACCTATCACGTGCAACACCCCTAGTAAGTAGAGAGAGAGAGAGAGAGAGAGAGAGAGAGAGAGTAGAGAGAGAGAGAGAGAGAGAGAGAGAGAGAGAAGACGAGAAGATAGAGAGACGAGAGAGAGAGAGAGGAGAGCAGAGAGAGAGAAGAAGAGAGAGAGAGAGAGAGTAGAGAGAGAGAGAAGAGAAGAGATGAAGAGAGAGAGCAGAGAGAGAGAGGAGAGAGAGAGAGAGTAGAGAGGAGAGAGAGAGAGAGAGAGAGAGAGGAAAGAGAGAATGAGAAGAGAAGAGAGAGAGAGTAGAGAGAGAGAGAGAGACGAGAACGAGAGAGAGGGCCGAGAGAGCAGAGGAGAGAGAGAGAGAGAGAGAGAGAGAGAAGAAGAAGAGAGAGAAGAGAGAGAGACGAAGAGAGAGAGAGAGAGGAGAGAGAGAGAGAGCGATGAGAGAGAGAGAGAGAGAGAAGAG